GTGTGGGTGTGGGTGTGGGTGTGGGTGTGGGTGTGGGTGTGGGTGTGAGACCGTGAAGATGCCATCCGCACCCACACCCACACCCTCAAATAGGGCCGTACTGCTTTAAACCGAAAAACATAGACTGTATTTTATGGTAAAACGTGGATGGGAAAGTGAGCTCCAAATTTGGAGTTTACATGTGGAGCTCACTTTTCTTGACCGTAATGGATCCATATTTTGCATTTTAATATAATGTGGAGGTGGTAAATGATGAAGATGCTGTTGCATTGTATTGAATGATAGTGGTGGAGGTAGTAAAATTTTGATGAATATGATGGACCACCAGCATTTGAAATGATCATTCCATTTGGATTTATTGAATCTGATGGATCTAATATGCGATGATGGGAATTTATATTCTAAACAAAAAGAAAAATTCTAATATTCTTTTTACAAACAAAAAACCATACTTGTATTTTCATATGTGGTGATAAATTCATAATATCCATTGATGTTGAGATATGTCTTATGTTTGGATTTAATATTTGCGTTGATACTTGATTAGTTGATGAATTATATGATATTCCATTATCTGGTCCATATGTTCGGTTTAAATGTAATTCTTCATTATCCATATCTGAAGGAAAAAAAACATGAAAATAGTGATAAAAGTTTTTAAAACAATTATACCAAATGTATCAAATTCATTATAATACATTTGTGTTGATGATGTTGTTAATTGTGCTTCATCTACATTTTCATGCAACTTTTGATTAATTGATGATGGTACAGGGTGTGGAATCAATTGTTCGGATTGACCAACATTATATAAATATGGTGTTGTGGAAGAGTTCATTTTAGATGAAAATAACCTCTCATTGGATCTTAAATTATCTTCAGGTGATGTTGTAGCAATTGAAGATGTTAATGATGATGATGATGGTAACATTTGATTTATTCGATTGACGACAACAATCAACTTTTTCTTCAATTTTTAAACTATAAAAGAAAACTAGAATATTTTTCCTACAAGAACAACATCTTACCGATAGGATCTTTCGACTTTTGGTACATGATCATTAATAAAACATGATATTTTTTCATTTAATTCTAATTGATTATTCTAAAATTAGTAAATTAATTTTTTTATTCTATATCATATAAAAATACTTTTTGTGATTTGAAAGTAACAAATACCTCATCTATTGTCTTCTTCATTGCTATATCTATGTCTATATCTATGTCTATACCCTTATATTTATAACTGACCATGTACGATCGATTGGTACCAACTGCAAATGCCAATGAATAACGTCCCCACTTCAAGATTGAAAATAAAAGTATAATAAAAACTTTTTGTTTTTTTTTTCATACTCTTTGTTCTCGATAATGAAAATTCATTGTTTCCAATGTCGATTGTAAGTGCTGAAATATACATTCAAGCATTTCTTGTTCTTCTTGTTTTTTTTTGGAGTCATATTTTATATCTAAATCTAAAATAAAAAGCAGATGACATGCACAAATAGCTGCACAATAAAATCCTTTTAAATTTTCTTCTTTTATAGTTTTTATCTTGAATATAAGCAGCTGAATGATTTGAATATAATAAATATAATTGAGGATTTTCTTCATAAGTATTTTCAATAAATTTAATTGTATGATTCAACAGCTAATAATAATTCATTATTTGAATAGTATAACTGAATGACCTAGTTTTTCTTCATCGAAAAAGTACATAAATTTTAACACCATTGTTCGTGTAAAATTATTTCTTTCTTTCTCGACTAATACGAATAACGAACGAACTTATAATAACGAAATTACAAAGAATACTAAAAGATACGAAAGAAACAAACGAATTTATATCAGATATCGCTAGTTAACAATCAAATACAAACAAAAAATCTTTTCTATCGATATGATATCTTTTGAGAAAACATTTATTTTAGATACGAACTAAATCGAAAAGTTCAATTAGCTGATCCAAATAGTTTAAATATAGCTAGAAACAAGATGATTGAAACATTTATTCAGAAGAAAATAAATGTTTAAACATGGAATAATTAGTTCATTATCTATAAGAGGAAATATTTTGTTTATGTTCAATAAAGTTATAACAATGAAAAGAACTTTATGATTTCATCTCAAACTTTCGTAATAGTTCTTTAGAATGTTTTTATAGTTCGTAATTAAATATATAAATTGAAAAGATTTTTTTCTAATCTCTGTGTCAAAAGTTTATTTTTCATCTCAAACACATCATTTATTTTTTCTGCAGTAATAACAACAATTATAATCAGTTAAATTAATATAATTGCAAAAGCATGGAAAAAAAGATTTATTGAAAAATAATAAATATTAGCTTTCATACAATTAAATCAATTGATTTTATCAACTTTATATTTTCCTATTACAATAGCTGTAATATGTTCTGAATCAGAGATGGACAAGCCGCGGTGTAAAACCGCCCCGTCCCGCCCCACCGGCGGGGCGGTGCTAAAACTTGGCGGGGCGGGGCGGTGACGGTGCATGACGAAATTTCGCGGTTTCCCCGCCTTTGTATAACCTTGATTTTTTAAATATACTCAGACCTTTAGAGACATCTTTTAAAAATTTAAAAATTTTTTCACAAAACTAATCAGTAAAAAAGACTTGTTAGCGCAGCTCCAGAGGAGCTAAAATGTGGAACTCACATATATTTTTTTAATTTTTTGTCCTGATGCCTTATTTTTAAATTGTAAAATACCTTTTTTCCGAATACGTATGAAATCATTGATATATTATATAAAAACTAGAGCCTTTTATGCGCTGCTAAGGTCTGTAATGGTGGGAGTCAGGGTTACCAGATCGAAAATTAAAAAATCAGAAAAATTTTTCTAAAAATCGGGAAAAAGTCGGAATTTTTGTTCTCGAAATCGGAAGAAAATCAGAAAGTATTTTTCCATACTTAAATAACTAGTCTATATATTTTCGATAGCTTCAATATCCTTTATCTTGCTTCTGTTCATCTTTTCGAATCAATATTGGAAATGATATTTCATAAAGAATTAAAGAAAATATCGATTACACAATTTACTCATGATTGAGAAATCTACATAAGTAATTTGAACAGGATCACATTATTTTTATCAAAAATGCTATAACCAACTTGACAAAACAATAGAATCAGTATTGTAAATTCATACACACACATGCATTTCACAAAACTTATGCAAAAGAAAACTAAGACTTATTCTGTATAATGTTCGTTTTTGTTCATACTTTTTTATTAGCTCGAATACTCTTCAAAATATCAGGTTGAGGTAACAGATATTCATAAAAATGTCCACAAATATAAACAGAACTCATTCCGATTTTCAATTCTGCAACAGCAAAATTAGTACCCATACGATTATGATTAGTTTTATGATATCTGTGATGAAACAAAAAAGCTCAGAAACGAAAATATTCTTAATTAACACTATAGTAAACGAACAGAGAAAGTTAGTTCATCGTAATAGAAAGCTGGATCTTAATTGTCTGTAAAACATCATAGTTTTATTGGAGGATATGCTTTCAAATCACTGCAGTGTGGTTTGTTGAGTTCATGATGCTTCACTACCCGATAACTATGGTGAAATAGATCGCAATATATGTGTGGTGTCGTGTCATGGTTAAACTATTCTAGAATGTCCTAAGAACTTGAATTCCCAAATAAGACTTCGAAAACCGAAGAAAAATTAGGAAATCTGAAGGCAATCGGAAAAATATGTTAAAATCGGAAAAAATCGAAACGTCGGAAAGTCGTTGGAGAAACTTTCAAAAATCGGAATTTTTCCTGCCGTATTGGAAGATCTGGCAACCCTGAGTGGGGTGTCTGTAATGGAGTGGAAGAAGGGGAAGAGTCGCCAAATCTGGAACTTAACACTTACAGTCACTATTTTCTTCGAAAATATACGTGAGTTCCACAAAATGAGTGACTGTATTATAATTGCCTTTCATTTTCATATATTTATTTTTTTCTATTTCGGAACGATGTTTATGCATTTAAAATATGCCTCTTCATCTCATGAAATGAAATAGCCATTATGAAAATTTAATGAAAAATTTGTCAATAAATAGTTTTTTAAAACATATTTTTGACGGGGCGGGGCAGGGCGGTGGCGGTGCGGAACTTTATCAGCGGTGCGGGACGGGGCGGTGACGTTGCGACTTTTTTTGCTGACTCGTCCATCTCTGGCAGATATTACTGAATCACAAGCACTGAAGATAATACCAACATTTCTTGAAGGGCCTGCTAAACAAGGGTTCGCTGAAAATAATACAGCATTAGAATCCTGGAGTGTGTTCAAAGCTGAATTTCTTCACACGTATTCATTTCCAACACTTAAACAATTAGCATCTCATCGTTTGCGCAATCATCAACAATGTCACGATGAACCAGTTATCGAATATTATACAGATGTTATGAAATTATGCAAAATAATTGATTATAACATGACAGATGTATCAAAACTTGATCATTTAAATCATGGTTTAAAATTATCTTTAATGAAAGATGTATTACGTCGAGCACCAACAATGCCATTCGAATTTTAAGAGCAAGCTGGACAAGAAGAGCCTTTAGATCGTCTAGTGTCTACATCTATTTATCAGCTAGTTAATAATGATAGTGAGACGTGTCACATATCTGAAATATCGGACATGCTAGAGATGCAAAGGGAGATGCGGGATATACCAAACAATCACCCAAAGACAATTCAAATATTGCCGCTATACGAAATATTTCTAGCGCGGTCGGCATCTCCCGATCATATAAAATTACATCGAAAAATTTTGCTGCGTATGGTTCGTGTGAAGCAACTCTATCATGTGGTACTGAAACATTATTTTATGTACAGATGGAGGGTATACATGTAGATTAAGACGCTTGTCTGTTTTGCACTCTCATCTCATACCATAGTTTTGATTGCATTGCTATGCAGCTGATTGGAGTGTCTCATAGTGGAATGATATGTTCGTAAAAACACCATTGACTTTTAGCAATTGTTTTATCGACTGCTCATCGTTTATTCAGTTTTCACAAATAGTATGGATAATATTAATATGTCGCTAGGTCATGAACAATTGATACAATCATTCGACAAAATGCTTCGGGGCAAAATCATAACAGTCTTTTCATCATTAATATTTGCGATGAAACGAATAGATTGATTGAAATCAGTAACGATATTTAGTACGTTAATAATTTATCGTTATTTGGTAGTTGTGTTATAATGATCATTGTTATTAAGGCACTAGTACAATTCGTCGCACGACAATTCGTCGCGTACAATTCGTCGCAATCAATTCGTCGCACGATCAATTCATCGCACGACAATTCGTCGCGATCAATTCGTCGCACGACAATTCGTCGCGATCAATTCGTCGCAAAACAATTCGTTGCACATGTATTGTAGAGAATACATTGATTGAATTAAGTGATTTAGTTTAGAATGTTATCTAATTAATCGTCTAAACAAAAATTTTTCTTTAGACTCTTTGGAGTCTTTTTCCGAATACAATAGTTTCTCAAAAATAAAATAGAGATATAAATTTAAAGTCTATTTTAAAATTTAATTTAAAAAAATTGAAATTTGATTTTAAATAAAATTCTATGTAGATAAATGAAAAATACAACTCATTTTTTCCAATTGAAATTTAACTTTTTATTTAAAAAAAGCTGAAAATTAAAACAAAAATATAAAATTGAAAACAAATCTTACAAATCTAAATTAAAAAAAATAAAGTTTTTTATTTACTGAAAACATGAATTTTAGGGGTCAAACAAACTAGAAAAATAAAAACTGAATTAACCACTAATTCGTCTTTAAAAGATGATTTAAATGTGAATTAATCAATCACGGTTCTTAATTCAGTTTTAATTTTTCTTGTGTGTTTGACCCCTTAATGAAAGAAAAATGAAATTTA